CCGGAGTTCAAAACCTATCCAACTGCAGAGAGGTGTAAGACAGTAAGAGACAGACAGATAAGTATATCCCCGAAAATCTTCACCGCTGCATTGCAAGACGTTTTCAAGCTACTGGACTGGAAATGATACGGTATTAACATCAATGGCGAGTACATCACTTACCTTCGATTAGCCGACGATATAGTCCTTATGGCAGAATCGCTGGAGGACCTTAGCACTATGCTTAATGACCTCAATGGTGTCTCCCAACGGATAGGTCTTTAGATGAATATGGACATAACAAAGATCATGTTTAATGTCAATGTCACACCTATGCCGGTAGTTGTTGGGATCACTATGCTCGAAGTTATTGACGAGTACGTTTACCTGGAACAAATAGTCCGACTAGATAAGCCCAACTTCGACCGAGAGGTCAATCGACGGATTAAACTCAGCTGGGTAGCCTTCAGGAAATTACGACACATTTTCCTGATGAGAAGATGTGTCGTAATTTCCTATACCTCAAACTCTGCAAACTAAATTGTACAACCAGTGCGTGTTGCCAGTGATGAATTAAGTATCTGAAATGTAGTCCTTCACTGCTGGCCGTATGAGGACGCTCAAGTTCGCTCAAGAGCTATAGAGAGGGCTATGCTCGAAATTTCTCTGCGTGATGTACTCGAAAAATGATCATATCCGCAGTACCAGAGTGACCGACATAGCTCAACGGATTAGTAAACCGAAGTGGCAATGGGCCGGCCATATAGCTCGAAGAACCGATAACCGATGGGGAAGAAAGGTTCTCGAGTGGCAGCCTCGTACCGGTAGGCGTAGTGTAGGGCGACCCCCCACTAGATGGAGTGACGACTTGGTAAGACATGCAGGAAGCCTATGGACGCAGGTAGCTCAGGACCGTGCTTTGTAGCATTACTTGGGGGAGGCCTATGTTCAGCAGTGGACTTGTGAAGGGCTGTAATGATGAAAAGAATGAAATATGTGATAGAATATAATTGAACGTGATACCATAACAATTTTGGTATAACTCGATGAGTATTAAAACAGTCTCGACACACACATAAACAGTGCGACACGTAATTATTCGAAGAAGCACTCCAAAAACAAAAAATGTGGTGGATTCGGGAATATTTGCTACAAAGAGAAAGATCATTAGGCTTTGTATACAGTCTTCGGATGTAGGATTGCCTATTTGAAAATTTTACAAGAATGACTACAAACGATTCCGATATACTTTTAGATATGATTGGATCGTACATAACCAAAACAGAAAAGAAACGCTATCGATTCTCACATGAAACTTGCGTTAATATTGAGATACTAGACAACTGGGGATAGTGTTATGGTGACATGTAGCTCAGGTTTTTATATATGTTTATTAGCTAATACGTTTTGAAGTCGTAGATAAACGGAATTGAGTCGAGTTTAGTTATGGTTCATTTACTTATACATTCAAAACGTCAAAACAAGTGATAAGTCAAAGTGTAATAAAGTAATTAAAGGTCTGGGTTTGGGGTAAAAATAGCAACTTCATATTTTTTCAACATTGTCTTTGAAAGTTAATTAAAATTATTCAAAGCACAAATAAAAATGTATAATAATATTATTTTTCATTAATTTTTTTTTTAATTGGGTATTCCTTTTCTCTCTAAGAGTCGTTCTGTGTCTGGCTAGGATTCGACTTATTTCCGTTACCAAATTGCAGTGCCTGCACTACTTTATTACGGTCTAATAGCTAAGAGCTAGTATAATTACTGGCTATAAGTTTTAGTCTTAGCTCTTCGGAGGTGACAACACATCTGTAGCTTTCTTTGTTTGAAGTTAGCTGCAAGTGTTCATAGGCTGAGGAAGCCACTTTTTTTATTATTATATGCGAGCAACTATGCAGGTCTAGGTAAAGAGACCAGTATCACTGCGACCTATAAGATCTATTGTGATCGCTGCTATGGCTTTAGTTCACGGCTAAGCCCTATGTCTTCAATGAATAGAAGGAGTTGCTTAGCGGTGAGCAATTTCACTTCTTCTGGGCGGAGTAGATAGTTTCCCAGATGAGTGTTATGTTTGCGCATTAAGGGTTCGCATTCAGTTAGGATGTGTAGAGGCGTTTCCTCCGTTATGGAACGGAACCGACACATCCTTGAGTTGCTTAGTCCCAGGATGGACATGTGCTTTTTAAGACGACAGTGTCCAGTTAGGGCTCTTGCCAGAACGCGCAATTTATTTTTACTTAATCCCAGGGCTTCTGAAGTGAATTTACGATCAAAAGCCTGGATTAAGGTTTTAGAATGTTTTAAGCCTGGTGTGTTAGACCACATCTTAAGTGATTTATTGTGATAAAGAGTTACAAGGGTCAATCGGGCTAGGCTTCTTGAGATTCCACAAAATGTCTACAAATCCAAATTGTGTGCACTATGAGCCCTCCCGTGCAAGTTTGTCGGCAAATTCGTTGCCTACAATAACCTCGTGACCCGGAACCCATCTTAAAACGACCCTGTTGTTACATCCCAGAGCGTTTAAACGGTTCACACAGTCTTCAAACTAGCTTCGAGTTCACTAAGTTTGATCTCAGCGCTAGCATTGCTGCTTGACTATCAGAGTTTATGTAAATTTTATGGTTTGTTTTTATTGGTAGTGTTTTTGCAGATTGATAATTTTTTCGCCATACTTCGCACACCGAAGTATGGCGAAAATTTCTGCCTAGAAGATAGAGGTGTATCTACCCAAATTCATACTAAGTTTGAATTTAGGGCGTTCCCCGTAAATTACAGAGCCTACGTCGAGGCCCATTTTAGACCCATGGGTATACCATATGAGGCTACCGACCTCACAGATAACCTGGCCATTCAGCCAGTCTTCTCTGAGGGTAATTCCACTATATACTTTTTGTCATAAGTGTGTAGTGGGCGCATGATATCTGAGATCATGCATAAGACCGATGATTCCTTAATTGAGTCGAGCATGGATATCAAACTGTAGGAGAGCAAGCTCAGACCGCCTTGGGCGTTGATCCTATACAAACTAGCCCTCGCCTCCTTGTCTAGATAGAGATCAAGGGGCGTTAAGCATAGAAGTGCATTAGAACCGCTCCAGGCGATGATCGCAGATCGTAGCTCCGAGAAAGCCACTTACTATTAGGTGGACTGTTAGTTCGTTTTGTCACTATTTATAAAAACACAGTTTTATAAAAAAAAAACTAAAATCTGCTTCGAAATTGCTTTACCCTACAGTATAATCATTTCAAAAAGAATCGCAGAGAAAACTTAAAAAAAATATATTCATTCACTATCCGAATCGAATATTGCAACGCATTTTTTTAAAGAAAAACGTCATCAAAGACCACTCATCAAAAGTGACTTAAAAATCAAAAGTGAATAACTCGTGCACGAAGTCAGGTTTGATCGAAACAGAATCAGAAAATGTGCTGGAGAATGCCTACAAGCATTTAATCCAATTGTTGTGCAATTTATGTGGCTTTCAAATAAATTAAAAATTAGGAATATATATAACTAATGGGGAAGAAAGAATCTCACGTAACAGCCTCGTTTCGGTAAGCGCAGTGTTTGGTGATCTCTCTCTAGATTGAGTGAAACCGAGCACTAGGGAGCCAATAGATGTATGTGACTCCGGACTGAACTTCTAGGATCATTACGTAGACTGCGTGCTCGTTCGTTACACTAACTTACAAAAGAAAATACAAATTTTTATAATTTTTAATAAAACTACAAAATCGTATCCAATATTAAAACGTAGTCTTAATAAAGAACTTATAACCACTGTAAGAAATTTACTTTCTCCTCTTAAGCAAGCATCCGTTTTTATAAGAATACTGTGTCGGCATAATTAATAAAAATTAATTAGTATCAATTTAAGCAACGCCTCCATCGCAAAGATTGCCTACAAGATAACATAATATTTGGAACAGGAACAGGAAAATTATTCCACTCCATCACAGTACGCGTGGATAAAATAAGCATTATAGATATATGCAAAAGCAAAACAAATTTATTTCGTATGTGTGGTAGTATGCCGACAACAAAATGGCGGATGACTGCCTGAGCGTTTGGTAGTCCGACAGTAAAGGGAGAGTAACCACAAAACCACCAAAGACGTAAAAGTACAGCCGTCACTCTTATACTAGAACTAGAATTCTTAGATACGACGACGAGAAACAGAGTCGAAAATGCCATAATTATTGCACTGCGATCGCCAACCCCACTGCAAACTTAGCGATTCCTCTGGATTTTTTTTGCGAGGCAATTCCTCCTAAAAACGGAAAGAGACTTTGCTCGATAGTACACGTCTACATGCTGATGAAAAAAAACAGAAACATTGAAATATTTTTTTATTTTATTTTATCGTACCTGCAAACACTTCATATTCGTTCTTGTGAAAAGCGGCTACAAATTGATACATTCCTCAAAACGTACAATTATTTATTTATTTTGAACTAAATTTATTTCAAACAAAAGAAAGCTCGACCTATTTTGCAACCAACTGGTTTCAAAACCCTTAGATAAAAAAGGTCTTCCCTTATTATAAAATTAAATATTAATTAATCTATTAAAAATATTTTAATATTTGATAGAAACAAACCAGAGATAGGGAATTTCTTTGTTGTTTTATTTAAATGCTTCACAAGGAATGTAATCACAAACAAACAACACCAAGCTACTTAATAAAATTATTTCCAAAAAAGATTAATGTGAAACCATTAAAAAAACATTTCTCAGGAACTCACAGCTTTGCAACGTAGTAAACGGTTAGAGGGATCAAAAGAGCTGATTCGCTTGCTCGACTCTGGCGAGCTTCCCAATTTGGTGTTTTCGGATGATAAAACTTTCCGCGTTGAGCAGTTTCTTAATAAATAAAATGACCGTATATGGTTGAAGGGACGTGTCAGAAACCATGCGGACGAACTGCAAGTCACTCGACGTCAAGGAGCCGATCAAATCATGGTCTGGGCGGTGGTGCCCAAAAAAGGCCGTTCAATGCTCGTTTTTCTCCCAATGGGTCGCAACCAAGTCAAAATAAATCAGCAAATCTATCGAGACAAAGTCTTAATACCTGGGCTGATACCGTGGGCACGTAACACGTTCGGTTCTGAGCGTTGGACTTTCCAGCAAGACTCGACACCATCGCACAGAGCAATTGGAACGCAAAATTGGTTGAAAGCGAACGTTCCAGTGCTGATCGACCGAGACTTTTGTATTTGGGGTATTTTGCAGGCCAAGGCTTGTGCTACAAAACACACGTCGGTGGAAGCGCTCAAAGATAGTCTTACGCGAGAATGGAATTGTTTAAGTGATGACCTCGTTTGAGTAGCATGCCCTTCGTTCAGGAAGAGACTCAAGCTTGTAGTAAAGTCTAAAGGCGCTTTTATTCCATCGGACTAAGCCATAACATAACTTTGAACCATCTATTGTCACATGTAAAAAGCGTATAAATAAATATTGAAAATTAAAAAAAAAAATTTATTTTCCCCTACGGACAGTTCAATCACCAGACACGGTATTATATACATATATATATATATATATATATATATATATATATATATATATATATATATATATATATATATATAGGTAGTAGAGCAACTCTGCAGCTATAATATGGTAGTATTATGAATGGGTCGCCTCGACTGGTGTGGGACCACGCTCTCAAAGAACACAAGCGTAAAATAGCAGCAAATGCCGCTGTGTTTCATATGGTGAGTATAAAGAAACGAATACCCGTTCATTATAATACTCAGGGGTGACAAAACATCTGCATTTTGATTCTTAATCGAGGTTAAATGTAGATGTCTATGGCCACAGCATCCACTTACCATCAGGCGGAATGTGTGCTCGTTTGTCACCCTTATTTTGTAAAATATCGGCAGTCATAAGACCTTTATGGTTTATCCTATATTTTCCTCTATCTATACACACACATTATGGCGTAAAACTCTTTAACATCGCTACCATCCAGCATTACTTTCGCTCATCAAAAACATCGCACATCAACAAAAGTCGAAATCGATAAAAGTAAAACTACAAGCAAACCGAAGAAAGCCGTTATCAATAAATACCGATCTGAGCTTAAAACTTAAACTCTCAATTTTTATATATAAAAATGTGGCTCTGATTTTTTTTGCGTGATTCCATTTGTTTTGATGTCAAAGGATGCTTATCCGTCTACAAGCAGCGCTCAAGATTCTTTATTTTATAAAAATAAAAGTTTCTTATTGTGTCTTCGCTTGCGTGGTTTTCTTTTAACCACAGATACTTTATTTAAAATTTAATAAAATCAGGCATCACATTGCGTTTAAATATTATGTTAAAAATTAAGTGATATATAACTGAGGAGGTACTTTTCAAAACTTGACTATTCCACTTTTTGTGTTTTTGTATAATTTAAAGAAATATAATTTTAAGAGTACAGTTATGTGTTTGATATAAAATGTTGATGAATTATAATATACAACAAAAATAGTGATTATTTTGTATAACTTTCAAATTTTTTGCAGTAATATAATGTAGAATAAATCCAGAATTTTAAAATGGAATAATCAAGTTTTGACTAGGCTGATTGGAATAATCAAGTTTTGTTATGTGCTTTAAAGGAATAATCTGGTTTTGAATCAAACCATTGTGGATTAATCTTATTTTGTTGAAATTAATTTAAAATGATGTTTTACTTAATAAAATTCTTTATTTATTTATTATATCCTTCTAATATTATGTGTAATATTATTTAATAACTTTATCACTTAAACTAAATTGACTAACCTCATTTTCATCTTGAAATAAAATAAATAAAACTAATGTAATTAAAGAATTATTTTTTTATTTAAATATACTTAATTCCTATTTATTAAACCTATTATTAAAACCTATTAAGAGCTCAAGTAATTTAACAATTACTTGAGCTCTCTCACTTTCAACGAGGTTTATAAGGAAAAAAATCCTAATCTTGCTTTTGACCAATTTCATGACTTATTTACCCTCCTCTATCGCCTATGCTTTCCTGATATTAAAATTAAAGTCTATTCACGTAAACAAACAAAATGATTATCTAATGGGATAAAAAAATGTACTAAGCGTAAACGACAGTTATTATGGCAATACAGAAAAAAACGCAGCGTAGAAAATAAAACTATATTAAAAGAGTATTCCCAACGTCTAAACAAAATTATCAAACTTACCCAAAAGTCCCAAAATAATTACTATATTAACACAGCACAAAATAAATCTAAAGCTACCTGGCAAGTGATAAATAAACACAAAAATGGCACAAATGAAGAATCAATTAGTAAAATTATTGTTGATGGTGATATAATTGAGGATCCTCTAGTTATAGCTAGGGCATTTAATAATTTCTATACCAACAAAATTAATAAAGACCGCCCAAATAGTGATAAACCATATAAGTTAACTTTTAACAATCCCAATTCAATTTTTATACCACCCACAACATCATTTGATATAGATAAAGCTATAAAATCTCTTAAAAACACAAACAGTACCGGTTGTGATGAAATTTGTACAAGAGTTCTAAAATACGTATCCGGTGCAATTGCTCCGGTACTTAGTTATATTTTCAATTTATGTATTTGTAATGGTATATTTCCTGAAAGACTAAAGTCTACAATTGTCAAACCACTGTTCAAAAAAAATGATCGGGAGAATATGTCTAACTATAGGCCCATTGCGCTTATACCTGTGCTCTCAAAAGTATTTGAGAAAATAATTTATAACTCTTTATATAACTACCTTGAAACGTACAATATTCTTAGAGAAGAACAAATAGGATTTAGAAAAAATAAGACTATAAATATGGCTCTATACAATTTTTTTAATACCGTTATGTCTAGCCTAAACAATAAAATACCTGTATGTGCACTTTACATGGATCTTACTAAAGCATTTGATTATGTTGATCATAAAATATTACTCAAAAAGCTTGAAGCCTACGGCATTCGAGGTAATGCACTAGATCTACTAACATCATATTTAGTTAACAGAAAACAAAGTACACACATTACAAAAATTTGTCTAAAATCAAGAAAAGAAATGACATATGTTTCTGAATACAGAGTCGTACAAACTGGAGTACCGCAAGGAAGTGTTTTAGGACCATTGTTGTTTCTTATTTATATCAACGACCTTCCCAACGTCATTAATTACAAAATGGTATTATTTGCTGACGATAGCACAGTTATTTTCACTAGCAGAAACAAAATAGATTTAGAAAGTAACATACACTTTGCTTTAGAGAAAATCATGAATTGGCTAAACATAAATAATTTAAATATAAATTTAGAAAAAACAAAACTTATGACATTCTATCAAAAACGTAATAAAATAAATAATTTAAATATCAATTATCTAGGACAAAAAATCAGTACCATAGATAATATAAAATTTTTGGGTATAAATGTAGATTGCAATTTGAACTGGCAGTCTCATGTGAGCAGTGTGTGTATGAAATTAAATCGTTTTTCGTATGCGTTATATATGCTTGGAAAAGTTGTGGACACATCCGCCGTAATGGCATCATATCATGCTTATGTTATGTCTACACTTAGATATGGTATTATATTCTGGGGTAATTGTACGGACAAAGAAACAGTATTTAAAGCTCAAAAGAGATGCTTACGAGCCATTTGTAAAATTAACCAAAGTGAGAGTTGTAAGCCATACTTCATTAATTTAAAATTATTAACAATGCCATGTCTATATATATATGAGGTAGTCTTATTTGTACGTCAAAACTTAAGTTTTTACAAAAAACTAAATGTCCAGCGTCATAAAGATAAATTGAGCCATCCCAATAGTAAGACTGTTTTGTTTCAAAAAAAGCGTATTCTGTATGGGTCCTCGACTGTATAACCATTTACCTAAATATATAAGAGATTCTAAGAGCTTTCACATTTTTAAGAAACAACTAAACACATTTTTAACCATAAAAGCGTATTATAATATTGACGATTATCTATATGACAATTTTTAAATTTTAACTATCAAATTTATTGAACGAAACGTTATCTATGTTATTAATTTTGAGACAATTTATACCTACTCGTTTTGACATTATTACTTGGACATTACAATTTTAATTATTACATGTATTTTATCATTATTATGTGAATTATTATTATGTTAGTAGCGCAAATATACAAATAGGGTTATATTATGTTAATGTAATTATCGGCATTTTCCATTTAATTTTAATTATAAATAAAATCTAATATTTAAGTAGTTTGCATACCGAAAGGTAGAATATGGCTGTATTTTGTTAAATTATTAAGACCTATTGTAACCCATATATCGCAAATTAATAAAATGAATTTGAATTTGAATTTGAATTTAAATTTTAACAGCCGTTTCATATTCAAGGCAATCACAATTTTCATCATTGTCACAAGCATCTTCTTCATCATTTTCGGGATTATTGCAACCATTTATTATATTGACATACCAGGAAAGCTCCTGGTTTTCTGCCCAATTTTCACCAAATTGTTTCACAAGCAGGTTTTTTAAATCATTTTTCTTTCATTTTTAAATCTTTTCAAGTGCAAGTGCACATGGGTCACAGTCCGAATAGTCCCTGAAGCAAAAATATAGACCACGTTAATAAAAAATTACATTGAATTAACTCATAAACGCAGAAGTTTTAAGACTATAGATTTGTAGCTAGGTTTAAGACACAAAAACTTACTTCTTTCGATTTTGTCGTCCGCGCTTTCTACTTCTTGAACCTGTATTTATATCTTGTACTGTTGTTTGAGACTGCATTTCTCAAAATTATTTTGATCCTCGAAATGTTGAAAACACAATTCGCAACGCATAAAAGTTTTATAAACTGCAACTGACCGCGACAGACAAAAATATTTGGAACATAAAAACAACTACCTTAAAAATATGAGGAAAAAACATGTTTTGTTACAATTTACAGTAATATAAAAATATCTTCTGGATTAATCATGTTTTGTTGCAATTTCTTAAATCCTTTTTTTTAACCTTCTTTTTTTTTTAGGAATAACCTACTTTTGACGAAATCATGCGTTTTTAAATATATTTTTCTAGTTGATCTATCACGTTTTGTCAGAATTTTGTTTTCTATGCATAGACATTTCAAAGTAACCCACCTAAAAAAATTAAAAAATCTACTTTGGGCGAAAATGGAATGGTCAAGTTTTGAAAAGTACCTCCTCAACTATCATACATCTAAAATACAAGCATTTTGCTCTAATTAGTGAATGCAATCTCCAAATATTACCAATACTTCACAGGATTCATTGTTTCTTGATGAAAATTACATGTAGTCATATTTT